TATCCTAGATGTATCCTAATTATTGCAAATGAGGGAAACCTGAATCCTAAGAGATGGACACAAGAGGTCTTACTTTGTTGTTGTTTTTAATGTTCTATATGATTTTTTTCTTTTGTATGTTCTTCTCCCTATGGTATATACGCTGTTTTCACTGTACTGATTTTATTACCCTGAATTTTGTATATACATTTGTCTAATTTGGGCAGGGGAAAGGGAATAACAAAACGCTGAACAAGGACACAGGATGACCCATTGCAACGATGATATCCACAAGACTCCATATTGGAAATGAACTTTAGAACTTTGGGGGGGAGGTCTGAGGGAGGGAAGGGATAGTAGGAGAAAAACAAAGGAGGGAGTAACAATGCTTGACAAGAAATGTACTCATTACCTTACTCATGTAAATGTAACCCCTTTGTACAGCATTTTTACAATAAAGTCAAATTAAAATTTAATTAATAAAAAATTTTTAAAATCCTGGTTTTAAAACATTTAATGTTAGAATAATACCACTAGATGGCAGCGAAATCCCACAGTTTATATTAAAAGAGCTATCTAGCTAAGTTTTCTATGGAAATCACAGAGTTTAGTGTTTTATCATCAACAAAGAGTCTCCAGGCTTGGGTATTTGACTAAGACCAGGGACACTCAGAAGGAGCTGTCAGCAGGCTGAATTGTGGGGGAATGTCTTCTGTTTTTGGAATTTAGAGACTGGAAGCTTGGCTTTGCCTCTTTTTCCTGCCTTATTTATCAGCAAAGGCCACCTTTCAAGGATATGTGTCCTTGGAGAAGTCTGTAACAGTGAGTGAGGTGATGTTAGTTCCCTGAGACTGTAGCAAGTCCTGTAGTGCTAGTGTCTTGAGGAGATGTGGCCCTGGATGGCTCTGTCTCTGTCTCTGTCACAGACATCAAAGTCCTTGTGAGGTCATTACAAGAAAGTAAACAGCCAGGAAGAGAGTCTAAAACAAATGACACTCTAGACTTCCCGGCTTCCAGAACTTTGATTTTATAACTATTCCATAAATTTGTCTACCAGCGCAAGATATCTGTGTTCATCATGGCATTGCAGGGAAACTAAGTCACCAAACCAGCTCTCCCTGAGCAGGATCAGCCTTAGGAATTGGCATGTAGTTTGGACATGTAGTTGCAGGCTTGCTTCTCTTCTTCCTGCTTTTCCAGCCATGGTAAGGAAGCAGGACTCAGGCTCCATTCAAGAATGTTGCCTATCAGTTGAAGGTGTAAGCCTGCTTTGTTTATGGATCAGAATCAAAAAAACATCAACTAAATTGGATGCATTACTGGTATTGTTTGTAGATGTACATACACTTTTTCTTCTGTAAGCGACTGAGAAGATCCTTTTTATCCTAACACTCTTTTCTCTACATGGCCCTTAGCTCAGACTTTATCATGCCTCTCCTGACTTGTACATGATATACCTATATAATCTGGGGTGTCAGGGTTGTGCCATTACTTTGGATTCACATAGGAAAGAGAAGGCTATCTAGGTAAAATAAAAAAGCAGTATGTATGTATGCATTTGTGCATTTCATTTTTTATTCTTATTATAATAGTGTTCCTTGTAGAGATGTTTCATCTCCTTGGTTATGCTTATGTATTCTTACTTTTGAGGAAATACTTTCATAATTTCAGTTTTCCTCATTTGGTATAATGTTGAGAATAGTTTTGCTTCATATTTGGGGGGGGGGGCTGAGGTAATTTTTTTCTATCCCTTGTCAATTGAGAGATAATTTATCAGTCACTCTTCTCCAATTCATGGCAACATTTTAACTTATTATCTTTTTACATTTTCTGGTGCTTCTCTGTATCCAACTTGCCAAAAACAATGACCACTACGGAGCCTCTACAAGTGCACCACACCTGGGAAGAGCAGACCATCACCTGGTATGCACTTGAGAGCAAATGGCCAGCAGGACTGATCACCAATTTCACAATGTTCCAATCCTGAGAATGAAACCCTTCCATGCCTGGTTGTTTGGCAAGGAAAGCTATACTTTGTCCTGTTTTGAGAAGCATAAATTCAAATCCTGGTATTCTACAAGGCTTATGTACCTACAAGAGGCCAGTGCGGGTGGCTCATGCCTGAAAAGCTACCTAAACAGAAGGCTGAGACCTGCTGATTCCATTCAAAGCCAGCCAAGGAAAGGAAAGTGCAAGAGACTCTTTCCTCCAGTTAACCAAAAATTACAGAAATGGAGATGTGGCTCAGGTGGAAGATTGCTGACCTTGAGTACAAAAGCTCAGGACCATGGCCCAGACCCTGAGTTCAAGTCCCAAGACACACACACACACACACACACACACACACACACACACACACACACACACACAAACACACACAAAGTAAAAAATGCACAAAAATTTAGTCATATATGAGTCTTCTTATGGTTGCTCATCCTTGGGGTGGGGGAAATAAAAGGGTTTCTTTTGATGTATATCATTTTGATTTATATCATTTCTTTTGATCTATATCATTTATAACTCATATACATGATTGAAGTTACAACCTAATGGGAAATTACCTGTGTTAGTCATTTCCCCTTCCATGTGATTGGCATTTAATTTCTGTTTGGAACTTTCTTTCAGTCCTGGTATCTCAAAAAGTATGCTCATTCTCTTTGCATAAGCAAGCAACAAAGGAATAAATGAAATAATTTACAAATAACATACTTACAAGATGATTTCTTTGTTGCTTTGTATGTCACTCCCCTATGGTGTAACCCATGTTTTCACTGTATTTGGTGTTGGTATAATTTAGGGAGGAGAAGGGAAAAAACAAATTGTTTAAATAGGGATACATGTGGCCCCACTGCAATAATGAGATGTACAAGACGTTTCGTGGAAAAATGAACTTTACAACTTTGGTGCTGAGGGGGAATAAGGTGGGTGGGTAGGATGGGGGAAAGTGGAGGAGAAAGGAATGGATAGGAAGAGCAAACAAAGGAGGAGGCAACAATGCTTGATAAGAAATGTACTCATTACCTTGCTCATGTAATTGTAACTCCTCTGTATGGTGTTTTTACAATATAAAACATATTTAAAAATAATATATACCACATATATGGTATATATGTGCACATTAGAATGAAACTAGGAGGACGACAGAGAAACAGAGAAACAGGGGAAAACATACAACAGTGGGATCTATCAGCTGCACTGGACATTGATCAAAGCGAACTAAACAACTCAATGGAAGCAATGGGAGGGAGGGAATGAGCAGCAAAGAGGGAACAGCTGACACTAAGCAAAAGGAAAGAAATGTATATATCACCGAATGTAGAAGAGATAATTGTATTGTCAGAGCTCATAGAATTAACAAACTTTATGAACCATGATAAAGATAATTTGTCCCACACATTCTTGTGTTTGTGACTATAAGTATCACTTACTTTGTGACTATAAGTATCAACATCCTGTGAAATTTGTGAAATTTATTTAATCACTTAATCACAATAAAAATTTGCTACAAAATAAGTTTAATAGAAAAAACTTTTTGTGTAACCCATAAGAAAATGTCACAAACAGTGGCCAATAGCACCAGAAATGTATGTTCTTCAGGCTCTAGATGGTGTAAGTGGAATATGAATTCCTCTGTACAACTCTGAGCCAGCATTCAGTTTCTTAGTAGCTTAAGATGAAACTTAAGGAAAGACATAATCTTGAGTGTTATACTGACACATGAAAACAGCTCTTGCTGGGTTCTGCTATGGGGTGTGGAGTCCTGGCTGTGGCTGCCCACATGGAATGCAGGCAGGATAAGGAGGGACTAATACAGAGTTAATACTTTTTCCAGGAGCAGACTCTGTAGAAAGATTAAAAGATAGATATTGCAATAGTCTGACTAACTAACTGAATGTAACTGGTGTTCTTGTTCATTCTGTCTTATAGAAGAGAGAGAAATATTAAGAATGCTGTTGTTAGTCTGGTGAAGAGTTATGCTGAGGAAGTGCCATTCCATATTTACTGATTGTGAAATGGACTATGTAAAATTTGGTTTTCTCTGTCATTTTTCTCTTTCATTTAGAAATGTTATTAGTTCACCCTCTGTAAGGAGGACTTTATGCTCTGGATTATTTTGTTTTGACACAAGTAATCATAAGAACTTAATTTATTAGGCACTCTATGAAGGACCTTTTTTTTATCACTTGTAGGGATTGAACTCAGGACCTGGATGCTGATCTTGAGCTCTTTTGCCCAAGGCTAACACTCTACCCCTTTCAGCCACAACACCACCTCCAATTTCTGAATGATTAATTGGAGATAAGAGTCAAAAGGGAACTTTCAGCCTGGATTTGCTTTGAACCATGTGTTCAGAACTCAGTCACCACAGACATGAGCTACCAGTGTCTGGCTTATAAAGAACATCTCTAACAGTTGTTGATAACTTGCTAATCATAAGTTAACTTTGTTTCAGTGATGTCAGATTAACTCAAGTATGTATTTGATTTCCTTACCTAGTTGTAACCACAATGGTATTGGATAAAAGTGTTGAGAAACAATGGCAAATGAAATCTGTGCACAGTATCTTTCTCTAGAATAACCAGAAGAGGGCCAATGAAATTGACCCTTCAGCAAAGCTCTCCTGAACACACATTTCAATTGAATTGGGCCTCTAGTGTTTTAAGCTGACAGGGTCAAGTATAAAACATCCTCCCTGCAGATCCAGGCATCAGGGGAGAGGGGTCCTTCTACCCACTGCTGGAGCCAGCCTGGTATTTGTGGGTCTTTTCTCCAAACACAGAAGAAATTTAAGTCACTTTCTTCACCAGAGAGATGCCCTTGCCCTCTGCTTTGTTCTTCTCACACTGCTGCACCCACCTGCTGATTTGCATAATGCTCCCCAAGGAGAACTTTCCAGCCCTAGTTTGACATAAAGGCTCATCTTGACCGTGACTTCACTGATCAAATCTCCTGGATTCCCAGCTAAAATGAGACTCTGTTCTTGTGTTCTGGGTCTCCTAACGCTCTGGATGACTGGTAAGGGCAGAGGGAGATGAGGATGGAAAAGAGGGTTGAGGGTGAGCCCTCAGGGCCACTGCTCCTTGTTTGTATTCTGTTCATGGGTTAGATGTACAGAACTTGTCCTCTAGAATGGGGCAGGTGAAGTTAATTATATGAGAGTGATGAACATTCTAGATGGAACCAGTTCCTGAGCTTTGTTGACAACTATGACACGTGTGTAGAGGGTAGAATACATGAGATCTAGAACCTCATTTATGTTTTTTAATATTTGTATATATTTTGAAATATTGAATGGTTTTAAGATAGAAGAAAAACCCATGAAAAGGATTGGGAATTAATATATAACCACAGAAAAAATTATATACCACATATAACATTGTACTTTTCATTTATTTTAATTTCAGTGTCCAGTGGCGATATTGTAATGACTCAGACTCCACTCTCCCTGCCTGTCACCCTGGGAGAGACGGTCTCCCTCTCCTGCAGGTCTAGTGAGAGCCTTATAGATAGTGATGGAGATAGTGCTCTATCTTGGTACTTGCAGAAGCCTGGCCAGTCTCCAAAACTGCTGATCTATTGGGCTTCCAACCGAGCATCTGGGGTCCCAGAAAGATTCAGTGGCAGTGGGTCAGACACAGATTTCACACTGCAAATCAGCAGGGTTGAGGCTGAAGATATTGGGGTTTATTACTGCATGCAATATATAGATACTCCTCCCACAGTGATACAGTCCTTAACAAAAACATCTCTGTAGGGCTTGGTCCAGCTGTTCTATTTCAAAGCTTGTCTGGGGAGCAGCATAGCAAATTCTCTGAACCAAAGCAGTAGTCTCAGTTTGGAGGACTTGACAGAAGATGTCATACCAAGGACCTTGTCTAAGTGGGATCTTGGATTACTTCAGCTTCCAAGGACTGTCAAAACCAGAATTTATAATGTTACTGCAGAAGTCAATTTATCACTTATTCCCAAATGTGAAAGACATAGACAAAAACATCTACCACCAGCATGCTATTTCTATAGTTTGGAGAGAATTACAGAGTCAAATCCCATGCAGAATGACTCAAGAAGCAGTAGTAGCTAGGAATTGAAGAATGAGTCACAAAGCTAGACTTAAAATGAGACGGATTTTTTAAAATAGTAATGTTACTGAATATCACCAAATAAATAGAATATGTTTGTTAAATATAAAGCAAATTAATTATATGACTCAGATGTTAAAACCTTGTTGCTTAATCAACTCATGATTTTGAAAGTCCCATTATTATTTTTAATTGTGAAAATACTATACATAGGGGTTATTATTACATGAGCAAGGTAATGAGTACTCTTCTTACCAAGCATTTTTGCCACCTCCTTTGTTACCTCTTACCATCCCTGCCCTCCCATCTTCACCCCAGAGCATAGTTACAAAGCTCATTTTTTGACATAATGTCTCATACATCTCATTGTTGTAATGGGCCCCCCCATATCCCTATTTAAATAATTTGTTTCTTCTCTTCCCCTTCGCAATTTATACCGACATCTAATAGTGAAAACAGGGGCTTCCTTGGCACAGGCCCATTTTTTTTTAAACAAGGTACAAATTGAAGTATGACTCTGAATAATGCTTTGTTCCATGGCCGTTTCCTCCAGTCCTCCTCTAATTTTGGCTCTTTCTCACCTTCTTCTTACAGCTTAGAACAATATGTTCTTCCCTTCCAAAAACCTACCATTAGATGGCAAACAAGCTTACAATGAGCAAAGGCTTCCCCTGAGACTTGAGTGTGTATTGAATTTTCTCTCAGAAAATGCACAGACCACTCAGACATCCAAAGCAGACCCCTGCTATTTCCCTCAGCATAGGCATCATCTTAGGAAAGGACCATCCTTACCAGTTTCTCTATTACATTTAAGTTCTCCTAATCCCTCTGTCACTGATAGATCTAAAATATCTCAACTTCCCCTGGTGGTAAAACATGAAATAGCCTCATAGCCACAGCTGTTCTGGGAGAAGTTCTATACTTACTGAGTCCCAAACAGAAAGAAAACATTTATAAAATTATCCACTGACTATATCATGAGCTTTACTAGGGAAGCATTTGAATATCTAAAAGAACCACAAACCACACAGAGAGTTGGTTTTAGTGCCAGGGGCAGACAATACTATTGAACAAATGCTATTTCTGCCAATGCGCCCTCTCTGCTCCTGCCAACACCACTCCATGAAGCAAGGCGATGTCAGGTGAGACAGGGCTTATGCATGTGTGTCCTGATTGACCTGAAACTCTCCATATTCCTTCCTGTGTCCCCCTGAGTGATTAGGATTACACATAGGCAGTGTCTCTGGTAGAAACAATCCTTTCATCTCAATAGCTTATATTTGTATTTCACAGAATGTCACCATCTATCTATCTTATACCTTGCATCTTAAATAAGAATACTAATTTTTAACAGAACTTTGAAGGCATTTTAGGAACACAAATGAACACAAATCATTTTGCTCTGGTTTACATGGAAGCTAGCCTGTGAGACATCAATGACAGTGAGCCTGAAACCCCTGTGTGCAGATCAGTTTGTCACTCTATGCACACAACAGTTCTTTTCTTTTTAAATAAGATTTTACTTATTGTGAAAATACTGTGCAGAAGGGTTACAATCACATGAGCAAGGTAATTAGTACATTTCTTACCAAGCATTTTTGCCTCCTCCTTTGTTTTTGCCTACCATCCCTACCTTCCCCATTTCCACAACTACATTTCCCTCTCCCCTCCCCCATCACATTCCCCAAATTATACCAACATCAAATACAGTGAAAGCAGGTGTTATACTGTGGGAGAGGGACATATAAAGAAACAAAAAATTACGTGGTACCTTATAAATACATTAGAAACAATTGCAAGAAAGAATGAAAACCACTTGTGTTCCTATCTTGGGGTTCATTTCGCTTAACATCATCTTATCTGACCTTTTCTGCTTGTCTCAGATATACACTAGTTATTGCAAATAAGGGAAACCATGGGACCTATGTTTCTTTGGGCCTGGCTTACTTCACTTAATAGAATTTTGCCCAAGTCTTTCCATTTCCTAACAAATGGTGCAATGTCATTCTTTCTGATGGAGGCATAGAATTCCATTGTGTATAATTACTGCATTTTATTGATCCATTCATCTATTGAGGGGCATTTGGGATGGGTACCTATCTTAGCTATGGTAAATAATGCTGGAATAAACATATTTGTTAAGTTAATTCCTAGGTATTTTATTTTTTGTGGGGCTATTACAAATGGAGTTGCTTTCCTAATTTCAGCCACACTTTTCTCATTGTTGGCATACAGAAAAGCCATTGATTTGGGGGGTTAATTTTATACCCTGCTACTTTGCCAAAGTTTTGAATCAGCTTGAGTAATTTTGGAGTGGAGTCTATGGGATTCTTTAAATACAAGATCATGTCATCTGCAAAGAGGGAGATTTTTATTTCTTCTTTCCCTATTTGGATCCCCTTTATGTCTGCATCTTGTCTTATCGCTGTAGATAGGCATTCTAATACTAGGTTGAGGAGAAGTGGAGAGAGTGGACATCCTTGTTTTGTTCCTGAGTTAAGAGGAAATGTCTTTAGTTTTTCACCATTAAGTATAATGCTGGCTGTAGATGTGTCATATAAAACCTTTATTGTATTGAGGAATGTTCCATGGATTCCTAATTTTTCCAAAACCTTCATCATAAAGTGGTGTTGGATCTTGTTGAATGCTTTTTCTACATCTATTGAGATAACCATGTTGTTCTTATCCTTGCTCCTGTTGATATGATGAATAATATTATTTGATATGCGTATATTGAACCAGCTTTGCATCCCTGAAATGAATCCTGTTTGATCATGGTGTATGATTTTTTGGATGAATTGTTGAAGTCGATTGGCCAAAATTTTGTTGAGAAGTTTTGCATCAATGTTCATCAAAGAGATGGGTCTATAATTCTCTTTCTTTGATGAGTCCCTGCCTGGTTTTGGGACGAGGGTTATGATGGCTTCATAGAATGTGTTCGGTAGTGAACTTTCTCTTTCAATTTCATTGAAGAGTTGGAGGAGTATTGGTGTGAGCTCTGCTTTGAAGGCCTTGTAGAATTCCGCTGTAAAACCATCTGGTCCTGGACTTTTCTTAGGGGAGGTCTCTTATTGCTGTTTCTATTTCAATGCTTGATATGGGCCTGTTAAGATGGTTTAACTCATCTTGGTTTAGTTTTGGCATGTCAATATTTGCTAGGAAAAGGTCCATTTCTGCCAAGTTCTCAAACTTATTAGCATAAAGTTTTGAGAAGTATTCCCTTAAAATGTTCTGAATCTTGGTTGTTTCCTTGGTGATATTTCCATTCTCCTCTCTGAGTTTATTTATTTGGGTGTGTTCTCTTCTTTTTCTGATAAGATTTGCTAAGGGTCTGTCAATTTTGTTAAGTTTTTCGAAGAACCAACTCTTTGTTTTGTTGATTCTTTCTATAGTTTTTTTGGATTCTAATTCATTTAATTCTGATTTAATTTTAATTATTTCTTTCTATCTACTGGATTGGGGTTTATCTTGCTGCTCTTTTTCAAGGAGGTTCAGATGTCTCATTAAATTGTTGGTTTCTGATCTCTCCAATTTGTTGATGTAGGAACTCAGAGCTATAAACTTGCCTCTGAGTACTGCCTTTGCTGTGTCCCAGAGGAGCTGGTAATTTGTGTGTTGATTTTTGTTGAATAGCATGAACATTTGAATTGCCTTTCTAATCTCTTCCTTGACCCACTCGTGATTCAACAGTGTGTTGTTCAGCCTCCATGTGTTACCGGACTTTCTTTGGTGCCTTTTGGTGTTGAGTTCTAATTTTATTCTCTTGTGGTCTGAGAGAATACAAGGTATAACTTCAATGTTTCTGAATTTGGACAAGTTTGCTTTGTGGCCTAAAATGTGGTCTATTTTAGAATATATTCCATGTGCTGCTGAGAAAAATGTGTATTCTGATGTTGCTGGGTGAAATATTCGGTAGATGTCTGTTAAATCTAATTGATCTATGCAGTTTTTTAGAT